TTTTTTCATCTTTACAGGAAAGTCATTTATTTGGAAAACTTTCAGATATTTGATTGGAGTAAACTTAATTGAACTTCAATTTAAAACTAAAATTTAAAATTTAAATATCGAACCTGTAATACCAAATAAAATGCACCTTTAAAATTATAATACAAAGATAAATGTCACGTATTAAGCGAAATGTCGCTTAAATCAAATAGTCTTTCACTACTCGATTTGAAGAGAGAGAGAGAGAGAGAGAGAGAGAGAGAGAGAGAGAGAGAGAGAGAGAGAGAGAGAGAAAGAGAGAGTATTCTTTATTGTACACCAACAAAATAAAAAAATAGAAAACATTAAATACAAAAAAAATTAGTACAATTGGCGGTCTTATCGCTAAGAGCGATCTCTTCCAGACAACTATCAGGTGGAAAATAATCATTTGGAAACTGATTACACGCGGAGTACCAATCAATTGAAATATATTATATGTATACACATACACACACACACATAAATAGATATACATACACAATTTCTTACTTATATACATTTATAAATATACAAATAAATACACAATGTAACGTAATAATAAATTTGAAGCGGAATAAAGAAAAGATAATTATTCTTTTTTTCATGGAAACGCATGGGTCAGTAACCTAGTAACCAATAAACGTTCAAGTAATTGCGACAGTAAAGCGAATTTCAACTAGAACAAGCACCTAAACGTAAAAATGATAATACCTCAAACACTGAACCCCGCGTTTTTAAAACGAATCAACCCTGAGCAATACCCAGTAGACGCTCATTATACAAATTAGAAGAGAGAGCGTCTGTCTATCCCGTTTATTAGGGTCGTACAGATCTGAAAGCGAATTAAATCAGCGAGGGGTCGAGCGCCTGATGAATCACGTAGGTATCGGAAATCCCGACTGTCATGTGGTAAGTGGTAATGGGCTGAAGGTAATGCAAATTTCATTATAATCTTTAATCTCAATTGGTTTAATGTTTAGATACAATTTAGGACCTAACAAAGATAATGAACGTTCTCAACTCCGATTCAGTTTTTTGTACGTATTCTTTATGTTGGGTAATGAATTCAAACATGGTAACAATGTCATATCCACTTGATAAGCGTAACTACTCATATACGAAATACAAATTACATATGACTGAGGAAAACTGAATAATAATTTAGTGTATAATTTCAAATTACTAATACTATTAGTGGTATCGTTTCCATTAGGGTTGATATATTGGTCATAGGACTTGTCGCGTGCTCGCATGGTTCCGATGTGTTTATGGCTAATGTACTGCAGTTCTGTCAGTGCTGTAGAACACGCTTTATATCCTTGCAATTAAGGATATATGTCTCAAATGGTGTCATTCGCGTTATAGGATCAGTGATCTCCTACGGGTCGTGAAGATTTCTTTCCATCTAGGCTACTGATGAAAACAACATGTAGTATTAAAACGCAGTATCGGCAGGAATGAAGAAATCCATACCAACTATCAAATGCGAAAAACGCGCGGGAATTCACTACCAACATCTTTGCTCTGAATTTCGAAGTAATACAAAAGCTCAGAGCTTCATAGAATTGATTTTACAACGAACTTGTTACATTTCGTTTTTACTATATGACCTCATCATCGAGACGCGAGAGCAGAAGATATAAATTAAGAACTATTTTCGTTACAACTCCGATATGATTTCGGGCAATGTCGTGATATTGAAAATATTTGTATATTTCTTTGCAACTGTCTGTCCACATAAAATTGTAATGAAGACGGTTAGACGATAGCAGTGGTGCAATGGATGTGATCGTCCAACTCAGCAAAATTCATATAGGATGACATGTTCAAAATGTCCACCACTCATGACAATGTAATCCATCCTACCATCCCACGATGATCTTGTCTATATTTCCAGAAAATAATCAAGTTGAATCTGACTATAAATAATGCATAGTGAACAGTCTTTATAACGTGCAGAGCATTTAAAATCTAAGTGCATATCAATTTGAAGCACACACTTGAAGTTGTTATTAGCCTATGGCTAGCCATACAAACTATATTTTTGTACAATGGTTCAAAGGGGTTCTCCTCGGTCCGTCTGTATTTAATTGCTTTAGACATGAACTGAAAACTCACCAGCTGTAAAGTGGTCAGTGAAGTCGAAATATATTGCAAGCTTTGCAAAGATATTGCTTACTCAATTTGAGATTAGATTTTCGTTCTTTCGGTAGATGCGACGGTTTACGATATAACCGAAATTTTAATCTCATATGTAAACGATGTAGTCTCCACAATGCACTTCACTTAATACCACTTAATACCAAGTGATGGGTGAAGACTCATCTAAACATTAAACAAACAAAAGAATATTATGTCGCTTACTACCCATCACTTCTAATGCCTGAATTAACAATTTAAGATCTTAGAAGTCGTCGTGGCCTAAAGGATAAGACGTCCGGTGCATTCGTGTTGAAGCGATGCACCGGTGTTCGAATCCCGCAGGCGGGTACCAATTTTTCTAATGAAATATGTACTCAACAAATTTTCACGATTGACTTCTACGGTGAAGGAATAACATCGTGTAATAAAAATCAAACCAGCAAAATTATAATTTGCGTAATTACTGGTGGTAGGATCTCTTGTAAGTCCGCGCGGATAGGTACCACCGCCCTGCTTATTTCTGCCGTGAAGCAGTAATGCGTTTCGGTTTGAAGGGTGGGGTAGCCGTTTGAAGGGTGGGGTAGCCGTTGTAACTATACTGAGACTTTAGAACTTGTATCTCAAGGTGGGTGGCGCGTCTACGTTGTAGATGTCTATGGGCTCCAGTAACCACTTAACATCAGGTGGGCTGTGAGATCGTCCACCCATCTACGCAATAAAAAAGAAAAAAAAAAAAGATATCTTTATATATATATACATTTCTTCTGTGCGTGTGTTTGTCAGTGAACTCCTCCTAAGCGGCTGGACTGATTTGAATGATTTTTTTGTATGCGTTTGGGTGACACCCTGGATGGTTTAGATTCACCCATCAGCCCGGCAGATGGCGCTGCAGTCGGTATCTAGGTTATTTATCTTTCCTATAAATAATTTATATGGCAAAACAACGTTGCCGGGCCAGCCAGTAAATATATGATCTTATGAATGGTGCGGATGTGGTATTATCATTTCCAAATCAATAGCTCGTGTACCGAACGAAGATAAAAGTATTGTTCGAGTTCTATTAATACGAAGCAACACGTTAGTTTTATTGAATTGTAAAAACGCGATGAATCACATCTATGATATTTTTAAAATAGTATTCTGAAGTAAACTGTGAGTAACGTCGCACAATTATGTTTGGGTTCGGTTTGTTAAAACATTTCCGCTTTTCCTTTTAGATATAATATAATATTATAAAGAGGAAAGATTTGTTTGTTTGTTTGTTTCGAATAGGCTCCGAAACTACTGGACCGATTTGAAAAATTCTTTTTCCATTAGAAGCCGACATTGTCCCTGATGAACATAGGCTACTTTTTTTAATTTTTTTTTTATTTTTTATTTCATGTGTGTTTTAATGTTTCCGAAGCGAAGCGAGGGCGGGTCGCTAGTTTTAGATAAACTTGATTTTAGAATAGTTCGAAGATTTATAAATAAGTAAGAATTTATTTTCAGACAAAATATTAGCTTTTATTTATTTGTTGCTTAGATGGGTGAATGAGCTCACGGCTCACCTGGTGTTAAGTGGTTACCGGAGCCCATAGACATCTACAACGTAAATGCGCCACCCACCTTGAGATATAAGCTCTAAGGTCTCAGTATAGTTACAACGGCTGCCCCATCCTTCAAACCGAAACGCATTACTGCTTCAGTGTGGTACCTACCCGTGCGGACTCACAAGACGTCCTACCACCAGTAAAGCGGCTTGCGGTCGAGATGCGAAAAATATGATATGCAAACTAAATATCCCTTTTTTTTCTTATTTAGACGAAGAGACTTGTTTAGTCTAGTGCTAGTGGTGCCAGGGGAACTCTGAGTCTGGCAATGACTGCCTCACCCTTCACCGTTACAGTGTGACACGTGGCTGTGTGGCGACATATATAGGCGCTTTCACAAGGCGCTTTACGTTCAGTCTAGTTAATCTTTACCTCAACCTATGCTACATAAACAAACCTAGAATTTCTCAGGCGGACACCGCAAGCTGTTGACAAGTTGTGAAAGCGTGACGCGTAAAACATAAAAATAAACCGGAGTTTGGAAATTAGCCAGTTCATCAATGAAACGTTGCGCCAAGATACTTACGATCGTCCAGGAAATAATACATCGCGCACCGAAACACAAGCGTTTGGTTCAGTTATACGAAATCTTACAGGATCTTAAACCGATGCGGGATGAGAGTTTATCACGCTGTTAATCGCAATGGAACATTTATTATGTAGGATATTGACTATTTTTGACTACCTCTTCCCCTACTCAAGGACACATAAGAGGACTAAAGCTCCACTTCCCGTTGTTTCTTAAGATTATATCACTATCCGACTCTTTGCCATTAAACTACTTTCTGAGAATTTTCTAGCACGTGTTACAATTTTTTGAATACATTGTTCCGCTACTTCGCCTGTTGTAGGGTTTTAAAGTCGCCTCTCTGTCGCAAACACTGTGTATAGCCATTATTTGTGTGTGAGCACACGAGCACTGACGCGGGGTGGGGCTAGGAGTGAGCATCGGGGTGAGGCGCAGAGTGGGACTAATAGTGAGCATCGGAGTGAGGCGCAGAGTGGGACTAGGAGTGAGCATCGGGGTGAGGCGTAGAATGGGCTTGGAGTGAGCATCGGAGTGAGGCGCAGAGTGGGGCTATGAGTGTGGCACAGCCGACAATCACTTACACACACTTTAGCCACCAATTTGGAACAGTATGGACAGAAATTCCGCGTATTTTTGCTAAACAATTGACTACTAGACTAAAGCTGAAAACATTAATAATTTACTAAGCGCAGAAGGTATAATATCTGCGACAAGGAGCACGCACTGACCTGCGCGACGTCTGCGAGGCGCTCCCGCTGCAACTCGAGGTCCTGGCTCCGCTTGAGCAGCGCGTCCTGCGCGAGCCCCAGCGCCCGCAGCTGCGCCCGCAGCGCGCGGAACGCGGCGCCCTCGCCCGCGGGGGGCGGCGGGGAGCGCGGGGACGGATCCGACTCCTGAGACTTTATCTGTTCACATGCAATTTGCATTTCCTTCAGCTCCCTTACCGTCCGCCGTGAGACACGTTTTTTTTTTTGCTTAGATTGGTGGACTAGCCCGCAGCCCACCTGGTGTTAAGTGGTTGCTGGAGCCCATAGACATCTACAACGTAAATGCGCCACCCACCTTGAGATATAAATTTTAAGGCCTCAGTATGGTTACAAGGGCTGCCCCACCCTTCAAACCGAAACGCATTACTGCTGCACGGCAAAAATAGGTAGGGTGGCGGTACCTACTCGCGTAGACTCACAAGAGGTCCTACCACCAGTAAACTTAAAGTTAAAGTATTTAAACTTTAAATACTTTAATTACCTTACCTTTAGCAAATCCCCCAATGAGCACACTGACTTTCAGCAACAAGAGACTTAGACCCTTGTTATACCTATAGTGGAGGTGGCGGACCACTAGAGTAACAAGGCGACCACAAGTATAAACATTAGGTCATCGCAGCCTGTTCTCTGTGCTGTACCTGTTCACCCAATATTGCAGTGCAACGGAAACATCATCTCAAACAGTAAACGGCGGTATTTGTATTGATGAATCGTCATTATTTAACACCAGTTGTACCATTTATATAACACTTAGTAGATTCACACCAGATTCATGTCTTACTGCTTCCTATGACAATGCCATCTAACCACTAAGCTAGAAAGTGTTACAAAAGTTTTTTTTTTCGAAAAAAACTATACCACTAGTTTGCTTTGCCTATGTCGTGGATTTTCATACGAAAGTTCAGCTTGAGGCCATGGTAGAATATGAAATTGACAACTTGGATTTAAAGCATGTCCAATTCAACGGCTATCTTATAAACAAAAAGAGAGAGGAGGCACACGTGGGAGTGTAGCGGCGCGCTGGGTGTACCTGCAAGTGTTCCCGCAGCGACACGTCCTCGCTGGGCTCGCTGCTGCCCGCGGGCGCCGCACAGTGCGCGCGCTGCAGCCGCCGCGTGCGCGCCGCCAGCGCCGCCGCCGCGTGCCCGCACTGCGCGAACACTTCGATTGACACACGGCCAATAACAACGCCAAAACGAAGCAACACTCACTCATTTCGTGTCATTTATACATATTACAAGTTTATAATCTGTATTGACACAGGATACTTTTAACATTTTTTTTATTGCTTAGATGGGTGGACAACCTCACAGCCTACATACTTACCCGTGCGGACTCACAAGAGGTCCTACCACCAAAAATAAAATTTAAAAAAACGTAAATTTTAAACCAGTAAAAAGTAATAAAATTTAATTGAATTGTTAGCGGATAACAGCAATATATAAGCTAGACATACCTGTTCATCGACAGTCCTCATGAGTTCAGCATATTTATCCTCCTGCTGTGCGCATTTCACGCAAGCAACCTCAGCATCGTTCTTCTCACTCTTAATCGACTCCAATTCTCCCAACAGTTCTCTCATTTTACCGTCCCTTTCATCGATAGTCTTCCTCATTCTTTCCAGCTCTTCCAAGATCTCTTTCTCGTGTTCAGTCTTCTGCTCTAATTGTGTTTCTAAAGTGGAGATGATGTCTCGTAGCAGAGTTATCTTTTCTTCGCTCGCTTTGATTTCATCGTCGGCCTGAGACTTCCGCGCCTCAAGTTCAGTTATAATTTGGTTCATTTCCCTGGTCTGAGTTTCTAGATGCTCCACCTGTTTGCAATTGTTATATTTCTACTACAATCATTTTTTTTTTTGACTTAGATGGGTGGACACAGCCCACCTGGTGTTAAGTGGTTACTGGAGCCCATAGACAACTACGACGTAAATGGGCGACCCACCTTGAGATATCAGTTGTAAGGTCTCAGTGTAGTTACAACGGCTGCCGCGCCTTTCAAGCCGAAACGCATTACTGCTTCACGGCAGAAATAGGCAGGGTGGTGGTACCTACCCGCGCGGACTCACAAGAGGCCCTACCACCAGTACATTTAATATATATATATAATTACGAAATGATGCAATTCTATTACATACACTGCAAGTCTACATGATTTGACAAAACGACATGATGTTTAATGTGTTTGTCAATTATTATATCGAGGGGTAAAAGGCTATTTGGTTTAAGCGACATTTTTGCAACTTTACATGAGAGCCATTTATAATAGTACACAATTTGGAAAACAATATCGTAACAAAAAACTTCTTCAGCTATTTGAATGGAGTAAATTTAATTAATGTTCAATTAAAAACATCGAATTGTTGATGCTAATATACCAAATAAAATGGACCTTTAATTACAACGATAAATGTCGATTATTAACCAAAATGTCACTTATATAATGACAAATAACCTTTCACCCCTCGATATGTAATATTGTTGTGGGTCCTCTTCGTATATTCAATCTACGATTAGTGAATCATTATTAATAATTTTGAAGAAAATGCAAACAATAAATACAAGGTGCGTTAGTGAACAACAAAGTAGTGCATTTCAAGCTACACAGTGCAACCATATGTACAAGAGTACACCGCACCACAAGGTTCTACTTTAACAGAGTGAGTGAGTGAGTGAGTGTGAGTGAGTGTGAGTGGGTGTGAGTGCGTGGGTGTGAGAGAGTGGATGTGAGTGAGTGAGTGAGTGAGTGAGTGAGTGGATGGGTAGGTGGGTGGGTGTGAGTGAGTGAGTGAGTGAGTTAATGAGTGGGTGTGAGTGAGTGAGTGGGTGGGTGAGTGAGTGAGTGTGAGTGTGAGTGGGTGTGAGTGAGAGTGTGAGTGAGTGGGTGTGTGTGAGTGTGAGTGAGTGAGTGCGAGTGAGTGGGNGTTAGAGAGAGACTTACGTGCGCATAGTGCTGGCGACAGTCGCAACACGAGAGGCGCAGGCTGTGCATCTAGACCGAGTTAGTACCGACAGTGAAAAAAACGTAATGATCCTTTTTGTGCAATGGTTATATGAAAAAATTATTCTATGAAATGTTATGGTCACCTTTACTGACCTATTTTTAATGTTGTTAGTCAAGCTACAAGTGACTTTTATATGTTATTCAGAAACAAACAAACAACGCACTCGCGTAGTTTAATACATTATATTTGAGTAAATTTAACTTGGTAATTATAAAGTACTGAGTGTGTGTACTCCGATGATAAATTCGCCTGGAATTTTTTTTAATGACAAATGGAAGGGTGATTATTTTGTCAATAAAATAATTACCCTTCCTAATTAATAAGTAATGTATGTAATCCTCAGCATTAAGGATTATCAACGCAATGAGGAGGTACATTTTATTTCCATTTTGAGCACTTTAGAGTTTATTTTCCAGATTAAAGTCGATATTTGAATATTATGCTGACTAGCCGTCATATCTCTTAATCATTCACATATCAATCAAATGTAAATAAATGTGAGACTACCTTCTGTAGAAGTAGTATAATTTGAATACATACTCGTCTGTAATCCGGCAGTAGCACTAGTAAGAAAGACCCTATCTATTTTCCTTCGTAATCCTAACGTGACTGTATAAGTTCCAGTACGAGATTTCTTGAAAATGTTTGAATCTGAATAACAAGGTTTTGCTGAACGAAACAAAAAAATGGTAGTCGCCGATATTTACAAACATTAGTAAAAATAGACCATCACCGGGTTGCAAACGAAATAAGGTCAGGTGCAAAATAAAAGCTTTAGTTAGACATTCAATTCGATCGCAAAAATTGTACCAAACAAAGTAAACTACAGCCTTGTACTAATACAAGGTCTAAACAAAAAATAACAAATCAGTGCAGGAACAGGAGCGAAACCGACAATCTCCTCATAATTTGTACTATAGATTTGCAAGAGAAGGTCGACCAGACGGACATACAGAGGAAATGAAGATTTTTTTTTTATTAATCTAAAAAGTTTTTTTTTATTTCCCTTGTAGGCAGACAAGCATACGGCCCACCTGATGGTGAGTGGTTACCGTCGCCCATGGACTTCAGCAATGCCAGGGGCAGAGCCAAGCCGCTGCCTACCGCTTAATTGGGTAGGGAATTTTAGCAGATGTATGTATGGTCGTTCGAGTCGTGGTGAGTGCACACGAGAGCGCACCTCGCTGAGTATCCTGGCGTTGTTCCGCAGGCGGGCGCCCAGCCGCGCGTTCTCGTCGCGCAGCTCGCCCTCCCGCCGCGCGAACTCGTCCCGCTCCCCCTCGCGCTCGCTCGCCTGCTCCTCCACGAACTGCCGCGTCGCGCGCAGCTGACGGTTGGCCGCCTCCAGCTGTTGGTGGCACGCACACGGCGTGGTGAGGCGGGGCGGGGGGCGTTACGGACAGCCGCGGGGTGGACGGGTATTGTCTGGTGAGGCTTTATAGGAAAGCTCCAGGACTCACGGCGACAGACTTATCAAATTGAAACTTGAGGCCGCTATTTAGCTGTTACTTAATTACGATTTATGCACTACAGTCACAGTACAAATTTGTAAATATGTAATGGATGTTGTGAAATTTAATTGAAAATGAAATTAAGGTACATCAAAGCATGAGTTTGAATCGTTTCAGACCGCTCAATGTGTACATGCATCCATCAGTACAGTGAAATGTTCAATGGAGGGATCCTAACATACGACATTTTATAGGTTAAGGTTAATGACTGACGACCTGATGACATTCCGAGTAGCACATAACGACGAATAAGCTGAGGGAGGGTGCGGCGCGGGGAGGAGGGGTGGCGGCGTACCTGTTGCGCGAGGTCGTCCCTCTCCCGCTGCAGCAGCTCGAGGTCGGCGCGCGGGGAGGGCGGGGGCGAGGCGGCGGGGGGGCGCGGGCCGCGGGGGGCGCACGCGGGGGGCACGCACGTGCCGTACCTATACAGGTGAACGTCTATTGTTACTATTTGCATCCCTGAAGCGCCCCGGCAAGAATTCCATTTAAATAGTATAAAACTAGTCGATCTGTATGTTTGTTCCCAACTGTAAAACTACACTATAACAATAAATCTGTGTCTAAACATCACATAAAATTCCAAATATGTAATATCCACAGACCCTTCCACGACGACGTCGCTGGAAGCCATGAGCTGCGCGATCTTCACCATGGCGGCCTCCAGGTCTGAACGTAGAAGATTCTCCCGCTGAAGGCACTCGGACATCGCCTCCTCCATGTTCTGTGGAAAGGGGAGAGATGATATCGTTACGCGCCAACACGGGGTACTTCCATACCAATATAAATTTGGTAGTGTGTTTGTTTATCCGTCATTCTTGTGATTTTTTAAAGTGACAATTTTAGGTCAGGAGCTTGACGTAAGCCATTTTTTATCCCGAAAAAACATCTTATTCCCGCGAGAAACTACACTGATATTTTTCTTTGTCCAAGCGTGCAAAGACGCGTGTTATAACTAGTTTTCTATTTAGCATTATTTTACCACATTAATAATTGGATAATTCTTAGAATCTTTTCACTGAAAAACTCATATACTATTAACAAAGAGACTCACATTTTAAGCACGGTCTGTCTGTAGCCATAAAATATATATCTATACTAATATTAAAAAGCGGAAGAGTTTGTTTGTTTGAACGTGCTAATTTTAGGAACTACTGGTCCGATCTAAAAAATTATTTGTGTTAGATAGCCCATTTATTGAAGAAGGCTATATAGGCTATATAACATCACGGTAAAATCAATACAAGTGGAGCATCAATGAAGAATGTTTCAAAATAGGGGTTTAAATAGCTTCCACATTCTATAATTCAAAAATATTTTCACTTTCTACGTAAATAAAGTGTTATAATGAATGAAACTAACCATTCCACGTGGACGGAGTCGCGGGTAAAAGCTTGTGTATATAATATATCAAACTTAGTAGAATTATAATATATGCATTTCATACTTTTCTGTGGAGCTCGCAGTTATCGCAAGACTCTTGTTTGGAGTCCAAGTCTTGAACTAGCGCGGCTACCTGCGCCTCACCAGACTCCAGCATCTTGCAGTCGCTCTCTGCAACGACACAGAGATGTAAGTACTGTGCTGTTTACACCGACTTACAATTTCCGCGTTCGTTAGTAATTAGGTATCAGTTACTGCTTACATAAGGCAAAGGAGAGCCATGACTCATCAGGGGGTCAACCGATATTGTTTAATTACGTTACTAAGTGACTATTGACGAGCTTTGAATATCAATATTAAACAGTTTTCTTAGTTTACACGAACAAAATATCAATATCAAAAATGAATCTCAATCTTGGAGTGTCAGTGATTAAGGTCGCATTTCGATCGTTGAGCGAACACGAGAAGAAACAAAGGAATATGCGTTAGCAAGAAACTGTAGAATTTGAATTTGGAATATCCGTGTCGCCCGTCGAGCGGCGAGCGCCCGTCCCCCTGGGGACCGCCCCCCCGGGGGACCGACCCCCACCGCGCGGGGGGCGCGACACTCACTGCGGGCGAGCCTGGCGGACAGGTCGAGCAGCGAGTGCGCCTCATTGCGGAGTCGCCGCAGCGAGTTCTCCAGCTCCCGCTTGATGTCGGCGCTCAGATCCCGCTGCTGTTCCAGGAACCCCACTATGCAGTCCTGGGGACGAACGAGCTTAGCATTAGAGACGATGCAGACGTACAATTGAAAATTCCTATTAAGTAGGTAAGAGAAATCCTGTTATACAAAACCAATTAAATTAATTATAAAACAATAAACTTATTTATTTTCTTCATTTTACATTTATAGAGAAAAAACAAATGCAGATCAGCACACGATCCACATCATAGTGTCGTAGGTGTTTAGGACATGCCAGTAACAACTCACTGCCTACCACTGACTCAATACTTTTTAAAGCTCATTTGAAATAAGCTATATAAAGAAGAGTGTTGACCTTCTATATCGTGCAATGATTAATAAGACACGTGTTCAGTTAAGTGACTAACACGTATATTGGGATTACAACCTAACGTGCTTATCGACAGCCCGACAATCCCGAGACTGAAGTAGCATCACTGCAATGTAGTTATCGCTAACACATACATATTATTATTAGTTGTTATCGAAACATTTGTCGTCCCTACAAGAGGATATCTTAAATTTACTAATATTTGCAGTCAATATCACGATAACAAATTAGTTGACATACGGCCTCACTGAACACCCCGTATGAACTATTGACAAACAGACTAGACAACAATTAACAATAGAAGATCGGTATAAACCAAAAAAAAAACCTCGTCCAAATCGCTGAGTATAGAGTTCAGGTCTGGAGCGAAGTGCACGTGCTTCCCGCTCCTAGAGACGATGCTCGCGTTCAGCTCCGCCGACAGGTTCGGACTGGAGGGGCGGTCTGGGTCTTCCGAGCTCCTGACGGCACACAAATTGTTTCATTAATTTATTTATTGCATTGCATTTATATTGAACACATAAAGCCATATCAGAATCAAAATTCAATACATAACATAAACAGACAAAACACAATTAATATTCAAGTGCACGTGCACTGAGACCGAAAAAATAAAGACGAACAAATAAATTGATTGTCAAATGAACACAGGATATTAAAATTTAACTCTTGTTCTTTACACGAAAGGGCTTATGTGGATGATGTGGTGATCTTTTCGCTTTTTTTTTTATTCCTACCTAAGCTGAGAACCTTGAGAGGCTATATCAGCGTAGCCATAACTAGTAGGTGAGCTCACGTGGACTCAAACCTGACGACGTTGCTAACACGAACCCTAGTAATAGCAGTGCTTCGCAGAATCTACCACCGGATCGGAAACGCGACCCACTGAGAAGATCCGGCGAGAATCTCAGTGGGCTGTGTCTGTGGGTTAATTACTCGTCGAGCCCTTCGTAGCAAGCGACGGGTTCGACGAGAACGATGACCGGACATAAACAGATAAAACACAATCATTATCAGTTCAAGTGCACGTGCACTAAGAGAACGAAAAAATTAAGACGAACAAATAAATTGATTGTCAAAATGAACACTGGATATTAAAATTTAAATCTTGTTCTTTACACGAAAAGGTTTATGTGGATGATGTGGTCATCTTTTCGCAACAAATGGAATTTTCTTTATCGCATTAGTGAGGAAATCAAGAAATCTTGCTGAAAAAACAAGGAAAACAGAAATTCAAACTAATCAATCAAATGACCGTTAAATTTCAAATTCGAACAACGTAGGTACGTTGCGTGAGCAGCATAGGCGCAACAGATTTGGACAATCACCCCTTAAACTAACAAAACGATAGTTAAAAATCAATGAAAACAAACCGTAAACAAAGAGTCAGCGAGTCAGATCCATTAAATTGTCTTTAAACGCAGGCGTTAACGACCAATAACAGGTGTGTGCATTCGAGCAATAAACATGTAGTTAATATTAAACAATGTTAATTGCTCTTTGTGAAATATTTTTAGTAACGGCGAGTGCAGACGAGTGTACAGTCAAGTGCAGTCCAGTAGTGACGGCTGCTCATGGATATTAACAATAACTTGACAAACGATTTTCCCATGGCGCAATGTGTGACCAAGTGTTTTGCCTTCTAAGGCCGACGCTTGTGGAAATCAGCAATTCTAAACAGCACAGGCAAGCCCCTGTCTAACATTGAGACTTTTTGGCTTAGAAAACCTAAATTAGATATGAACATTTAATTGCTCTTATCGGGTCATCAGGCAACATAACAGTTTTATTTATATCGAAAGCTGGAAGGAGTGCAGGCTTCAGCTAGAAAAGAATGATGCTGTTCCGGTAGCCGAATTAGCTATGAGCAAAATGGTTTCAGGGGATTTCGGAGGATTTTCCTTAGAGCTCTCAAACATACAGCACATAGAAACTCGATACTATACACAGAAAACATAGAAGACCATAATCCTAAAAGCCAATTGACCCAGAGCCTAATTAAGGTGAAAAAATAGAAATCATTTTATAATTATTCATGGAAGTTACTTGAAACTTGAACTTCCTGCGTAAAGCTGGGGTGTGCGTGTTTATCCGGGAGGATGTCTGCTGTCGTCGGCTTCGGGGCCTCGAGCAACGGGACCTGTCCCTCTTGTGGCTACGCGTGGACTATGGGGGCTGTACCAGAGTCTACGCTTGCCTGTACAGGTCTCACAGCAGTGATGCGGGGTCAGCTCTGTTTGAGCATGTACAAAAGGGGACTGACCGCGTGCTTGAGCAGTACCCATCTGCGGAGGTGGTGGTCCTTGGTGACTTTAACGCTCATCACCAGGAGTGGTTGGGGTCCAGAACCACTGACCTCCCGGGTCGGGCTGCCTACGATTTCGCCTTGTCCTACGGCCTCTCACAACTGGTGACACAGCCCACCCGTGTCCCAGACATTGAGGGGCACGAGCCTTCTTTNAAAAAAAAAAAAAAAAAAAAAAAAAAAAAAAAAAAAAAAAAAAAAAAACGCTTCTTAGGCTAACTAATTTCAGAGTCGATTCAATTAGTAAAAATACTAGGAATTGACGCTTGACAACATTTTATGTCTTACTGGTTCCAGCTAGTTTATTTTATGGAAACAATCCGGTATATTCGAACTCATCAACTTCTGATTCACCATACATTAATTATCATTTATATTTTATTTGACACTAAATAATTTTAGTATTTCAAAGCCTCTTGGAGTAATTCGCTCTTATTTCGTTAGTACGTAAAATTTTCATGAGTTGTTTTTTTTTTAAATTTCATGTTTATGTTCCATTGTGTAAGAGATTCAGGAAAATATGAGATCTTAATGAAAAAGGGAACATAGAAGAGGATTAGCCTTCCTCTAGGCCTAATTAGGGGAACCTGAGGCCGTAATTTCAAAATCACTGACTCAGATGATTGTTTGGTTTACGAACTGGCTATCGAGCCAGCAGCTGAAAATTATCTGATAAAATTGCAGTATTCTGGTTGATTTGTCTGGTAATTTCTTGAAGAAAATATTAAATATAAAAATCTCTGATATCAAAGAAATATCCCGAACTTTAATGAGCCTTACACCAGATTTAAAGTGAAAACTATTTTCATCTCTAGCTTAACCCTTAGAGGACTGAAATATTGGCCGCAAGCCAGCGATTTCAAGGAGGGATTTTATTAAAGCACAAGTATTAACTGCAAATATAAATGGGCTTAAATTAGTGACGGCAGGAGGGCGTTAATTATAGATTCACCTAGAGACATTAAAGATCGGATGTTTCCGGTCATTTCAGATGTGTTTACGAGGGATGCGGGAACATTTAGTGGATGAGCTGTTTTGATAAGTAGATAGCACAGGGGTCAGTGCGATATGTCGACATAAGTACCAAGGTACTTGTGCCGTTTGAAAATATTTCATAAGAGGCAAGATGCACGCTGCGATGTTAGAACCACAAGTCTCAGACAAACTGTGGAGTTTGCAGTATATTTGCGGATGTCGTCGAGAAGTAATTATAAATTGGTGTCGTGTCATAAATATACAGTACAGCGGGATTGAGGTACTTATCGGTGCGTTTTAAATTGAACAGAATTTTATAACTTTGGAAACATATATTATTATTATTATTTAATTGTATCGGTAAGGCAATCTATTGAAATTTAGAAATATATCCTTTACATAATAATAGTATTGGGTAAATTACAGAGATTTGCCTTTTGTAACATAATAATATCATTCGTTCATAATGGACTTTAGAGACCAGTGTTAGTTGCACCTACACTTAGAAATCCAGCAAACAAAGTAAAATTTCTTTAGCAGTGTTAAAAACGATATTAACTTAAAATTAAAATGGCTATTGTTTTTTTTATTGCTTAGATGAATGTACGAGCTCACAGTCCACCTGGTATGTAGTTACCGGAGCCCATAGTCGTCTACAACGTAAATCACCCACCTTGAGATATAAGTTCTAAGGTCGCAAGTATAGTTACAACGGCTGCCCCACCCTTCAAACCGAAGCTCATTACTGATTCACGGCAGAAATAGGCAGGGTGGTACCTACCGTGCGGACTCACAAGAGGTCCTACCACCAGTATGTATGAAGTGAATGAAGAGAATGTGTACTTACGATTGCGTGGCGAGCCTGGCCAGTAGCTCTGCCAGCACCGTGGAGTTGAGCTCGTGCTCGGCGCGGCCGCAGTACGCGACCAGCTCGCCCACCGCGCGGTGCAGGCTCACCGCCACGCGGCGCAACTCGTCCCTACCACACCGCCGCATGCACACAGTCACATAGCCGCTCGGAACACCATAACAACTAATCAGATTTTTTTTTTATTGCTTATATGGGTGGACGAGCTCACAGCCCACCTGGTGTGAAGTGGTTACTGGAGCCCATAGACATCTACAACGTAAATGCGCCACCCACCTTGAGATATAAGTTCTAAGATGTCAGTATAGTTACAACGGTTGCCCCACCCTTCAAACCGAAACGCATTACTGCTTCACGGCAGAAATAGGTACTACCACCTACCCGTGCGGACTCACAAGAGGTCCTACCAACAATAATTACGCAAATTATAATTTTGCGGTTTTGATTTTTTATTACACGATGTTATTCCTTCACCGTGGAAGTAAATCGTGAACATTTGTTAAGTACGTATTTCATTAGAAAAATTGGTATCCGCCTGCGGGATTGAACACCGGTGCATCGCTATATATGAATGCACCGGATGCCTTATCCTTTTGCGTAAACATGCAAATCTTACTCATGTACAAGAGGAATTTAGAAAAATAACAAAATTCAAACCGTCAGTATACGGAGCCTTAACATGCGCCCGGTGAAGGATCTTCGCTTTTACTCCCTCAGGATAAGTTTACTTATAATCGATCAACATTCCTCTCGCACCCAAAGTTATGGATATTTAAGAGCATTAGACCGACCTTTCCTTAGTGACTTCTTCGAGGTGTCTGTTCTGGTCGAAACAGAAGTTCCTGCGCTGCTTCCATTTGTCACTGTCGCCTGCAGAAAGCTCGTCCCGGAGACTCGATACCTGGAAATTGAAACAAGAAATTAAATAACTCGATAGACTTATCAAGAAATGCTGATGACCCTGTCAGGTACATACAGTACTTTTACTGGTGGTAGGACCTCTTGTACGGACGCGCGGGTAGGTACTACCGCCCTGCCTATTTCTGCCGTGAAGCAGTAATGCGTTTCGGTTTGAAGGGTGGGGCAGCCGTTGTAACTATACTGAGACATTAGAACTTATATCTCTAGGTGTGTGGCGCATTTACCTTGTAGATGCCTATGGGCTCCAGTAATCACTTAACACTAGGTGAACTGTGAGCTCGTCCACATATCAAAGCAATAAAAAAAAACAAAAGAAGTAGGTAGGTAGGAAGGAAGACAGTCGAGGCAGGAATCTTAATAACATTGTAATTTTGGGTATACTACTCTATAAATTGAAATGCATGGATAATTCACGGCAGAAGCAGTCGTTACGGTGGTACCGGATCGGCAGGTCGTTCGCGCTCCATCAATGTATGAGTTTTGCTAAATTTCAAGTCGGAAGTCGTTGGTGAATAAATACATTTTAGTTACATCTATATATATAAATAAACGAAAACAAAGTAATTAAATGCAAATTTCTTCTCTGTTTCATGTTATTGTTTATAAACTTGTCACCCTAAAACCATAAAATAATAAAAACTTTTTGGAATTCGTTTTTTTTTCTTCAAGATATCAATTAAAAATACAAAACACAAAAAAAATTTGACATAAAATAAATCCTAAGTATCTTAGGTATCATTGATGATGTTACAATTTCGATTTCTGTGCGATCACTAATAATTATTTAAATAAACAAGAGATAGTTACATACATAGATGCATACCACGATACAATCATAGGACGAGTAATGATTTAACCTAACCTCCTTTTGTCATTTATTGTATTTAATTACCTTTAAAAATCTAAGTGTTTTCTGTGTCAAAGGCTAGTATAATAAATGATTTTATTATTATACTAGCTGTACCCGTCCGCTTCGCTGGGCATTTAAAATTAACATTATTATTTCTCACCCCCGCAAAGATTCTCATCATTAACGCCCCCGCAACTGGTGTAGGGAGTCCAACACTCATATAAATATTAAGTACATGTATTTTCTACGTGGATACCAAGTTTCAAGTCAATCGGATGCATGGTTCAGTAGTTATAACGGAACATCCGTAAAAACCACTGTAGATTTATATATTAGTATAGATGAAGCGTGTTGTAAGCCCGCACGCGTTGATTTACCTATTTCTGCCGCGAAACATCATGCACTCGATTCGTAGGAGAGGACCACTGAGAGTATCTACAAATTTAAGCGACCACTTAACATCCACGAGAACTTCAACTCGTCTACCCTTCTTCTCTAAAATTGAACTTACATCATGTAAGCATAAAATGATAAATATAAATTAAAAATTAACAAAACACAAGATAGAATTAATCTACAGAAAACTGGAACATAAAAAAACACGAACCATAAACTTCCTCAGCAAAACCATTTTGTTACCGACTCATTGTGAGCATCGTTATTAAAGCCACACTCGTCTTGTTGCAAATTTAATTATGTACTTAAAAACATTTTCGTCACTTCGTTCATTACATTGTTTACGATATAAAAACATTAACACATATTTACTTCAAAACTAAAATGAATACATAGAATTGTTTGAAGGCGTTACTTTGGCTTTGAAATTATTCCCGATCAATACTCACTCTTCAATCCACCTAGTCATATATTAATAGTACTAACAATACTGTACACAAACACTTGTTAACTAGTCATCTATTAGAATATTTCAGATTAGTGAGATAGCGAACATTAACAATATTTCATTACATACTTTCATGTAGGTCAAAGTAATGTAAAGAATAGGAATCAGTTACCAATAATATTACTTTTATAGATATTTATATTGTTATAATCTAGTAAAAAATGAAAAAGCGTCTTAATATTTTCTTAACGGATACAAAACATATGTAGATTTTAGCACGGTTTAAAATGTATTCATAATTACCTATTATCAATAAAATAACTTATTACAATATAATTTCAATGAAAAATCACTTTAATACAAAATATTTCAAACGATTCATTATGTCAATGTTCAAATTGTCCACTAAATACCGAACTACCCTCGAAATCAAACAACGACACTGCTACAACACACGCAGCTGCGTTCAGAAACTTAAACGAGAGAAAAACAACAGAGATCATAGTACGAGAGCTTGTAATGTTTAAATGATATCTATTGAGGTCATACGATCTGACCCGAATGCTTATCCAGCTGTAATGAGGAGATAAGAGTGCTGAACATCTAGAATAAAGCTACTGTTACTATTTCCGTACCTTCTATCCGGCAATATCTACTGTACTAATTTAATCATCTCCTAATTGATACAGTCAGTTAGCAATATCCCATACTTCAGAATGGTGGGCGTTCCGAAATTGGTATGACATCGTACTGGCGACCGGTTCTATATACGAGTATAAGTCAAGTCACTTTATATTATATACCTACTCCATCTAGTGGGATAACTTACAGGATAAACCTTTGTTGTGTGCTGTTTTGTATAGCATTCTCGTACATCAGTACAGCTGTCTTAGTAATCAAGCCCACAACGTTAAATATTAATCTAACGTTGACCACTAAAGTAGTCCATGCATTTCGTGATGTTATATATTAAGGTGGACCTTACTATAACCAATCTATAGAATTATTTGTTATTAATTTAAATAAAAACGTAATATTGCAAAGTAAACGCATACCTAACTAACTCCTAGCTCTTGGACTTTCAGTAGACAGAGCACACATTTGTTTCGCAACCAGCTTCATGGCAAAATGACCTTTATTTCTAATTTATTTAAGCTCATTATCTTATATGTGTTTAACTCAAAGCGCACGTGATGATGGTTGCGTTGCATTACCGCGATGATCAAGACCGGAGAAGGGTAACATACTGAAATGGGATTTGTAGAAAGTTCAATGTAAATAAACATTTCTATTATTTATATTACAGTAAGATTTCTTTGAAAGATGATTTATATTTTGTATCATCAGCAAACGATTAATGAAATTCATTTATTTTCTATTCCTGTTTTGAAATTTGAAGACGTGAAATGTTTGCTTTATTTATTAACTTTTTCTATTTTTATTACTAAAACATATTATGCGAATTGCAAATTAACGATTTCAATAAAATCGGAATGGTTTCTAAAACAATTCTTGTCGATAGGTATAATGTAAGCTTTTGTAAGATACGATACAATTCACTAATAATAACAACTCAAGGCCGAAGATAATCGTATGAATGAAATACAAAACGAATTTCTCGAGTTGACCTATTTATTCTAAGAAAATGTTTCGTAAGAGTAAAAAGTATATCGTGTTATGAAAATCGCTTGCCCGGCTTTCAGATTCACTTATAATAGCCGGCAAACTTCTTGAGCATTTGTTGACGTAGTGGGGGTAAGTTCGCGCATGGTACACTCACGTGCATAAACATTACTTACTCTGCGTCATAATGCTATTAAATTATTAAAATCAACATACGTATTTATTTATATATTTATTAGAACATCAACAAAACATGTAGGTTAATAATTGTAATAATTTAATCTTGGGGTAAAATAGATATTCCTTCTATTAAGTCAAAACTAGAGCTGTTGCCAGGTCTTGGTTCAGTTGAAGCGAAGCTGGTATTTGTAATTTTTTTTTCGTTATCATAATCTTGACCATCATCATCATCACTGTTTTCATCACCCGAGTCGCTATCATCGTGATGAGTCGACATAGGGCTCATCGGCGTAGTTTACAACTCGGTCGATTCGGTCTTCTTTTTTGTCTATAATTAATTATTTTTTGAAGATATTCGATTCGTAGTAATCGAATGTTACTTTTTTCATTTACCAGCTTCCGATTATTTTCTGTTCTTTTTTTCCATCTGAAGCCTAGCTCTTTCATAATTCGTCGTAAGCTTCATTCCGAGCCATTAAAATTTATATCTTCTTTAAATTTTTCGAAGCCTTTCTACGGTACGGAGTTTCGCTGCTTGTTATGTAGTTATTATGATTACATCTTTTTATTACAGATTGAACGAAACTATCCATTCCGGTAACTTTCTTCTTCCCTGATCTTTTCTTACCCGGAGTCCGAAACACGGCGAGCAAGCCAGAGCCTTTAGCTTCGTTAATAATGCACCTAACAGTACTCACTGATGTTTTTGTTGCTTCCGAAGTCTGTTTTAATTTTTCCATATCATTCTTCCCCTGTTTTATAATGAAGCAATATACGTCGTACACAAATTTTCTACCCTTTCTTTTAAGTACTACACCAGTTTGTCACGGCATAGTGTATGTTTTATAAAAAATCAACAAACACTCAACAAATAGCAATGGCAACAAAGTCCACAAGCAATTATAACAAATAACTTAACGATTAATAACGATAGACTTTCCACTGTACGCAAGCGTACTTTTGGGAGCAAGCGGAATGAGGGCGCGGTGCGGGACGCAAGGTTCGACTGATCTACCAATAAAGCGCTCGATACGATTTCCCCTGCCGTCGCGCCTCACCCTCACCACCAAAGTGATCTAAAATTCGGTTCTGCGCAGTCAAGGTCATTTGCTCACGAAGTTTGCCGGTTACTATACCAATGTTTAAATTTTCTCAGATTTTTTTTTATTTTATTTTTTTATGATTGAAGGATTACTGGTGGCCCGGAGGCCTATCCAGTTTCAGCCAGGGGGGGTGGGATTTGCTAGCAGCCACCCGAGCGCCTCCGAAGGAGACCTAACAACTCAACAGCAGCTGCTTCGCCAATGAATCTACTACCGGATCGGAATCGGCTCAGATTATCTAAGTTTTCCTGGTCTCAACTGAACGGTCTCCCAATCCACTTCTACAAGAAACCCAACGAGGTCATAGAAATTAGACTTATACATAAAATTACAGATGAAATGAATCAGAAACAGACTCTTCAGCGAGAGTTCAAGATACA